CCAGCTCCTGTATTCATTGATTTTTTTGAAGGGTTTTTCGTGTCTCTATCTCCTTCAGTTCTGCTCTGATCTTATTTATGCCTTATCTTATGCTAGCTTTTGAATTTTTTTCCTCTTGCTTCTCTAGTTTTTTAAATTGTGATGTTAGGGTGTCGATTTTAGATCTTTCCTGCTTTGTCCTGCGGGGATTTAGTACTGTAATTTCCCTTTAAACATTGCTTTAGTTGTGTCCCAGAGATTCTGGTATGTTGTGTCTTTGCTCTCATTTGTTTCAAAGAACTTATTTATTTTGTTATATACCCAGTAGTCATTTGGGAGCAGGTTGTTCAGTTTCCATGCAGTTGTACAGTTTTCAGTGAGTTTCTTAATCCTGAGTTCTAATTTGATTGCACTGTGGTCTGAGAGACTGTTATGATTTCTGTTCATTTGCATTTGCTGAGGAGTGTTTTACTTTCGATTATGTGGTCAATTTTAGAATAAGTGTGATGTGGTGCTGAGAAGAATGTATATTCTGTTGATTTGGAGTGGAGAGTCCTGTAGATGTATATTAGGTCTGCTTGGTCCAGAGTTGAGTTCAAGTTCTGAATATCCTTGTAATTTTCCATCTTGGTTATCTGTCTAATATTGACAGAGGGGTGTTAAAGTCTCTCACTATTATTGTTTGGGAGTCTGTCTCTTTGTAGCATTCTCAGAACTTGCTTTTTGAATCTGTATGCTCCTGTATTGTGTGCATATGTATTTAAGATAGTTAGCTCCTCTTGTTGCATTGATCCCTTTACCATTATGTAATCTCCTTCTTTGTCTCTTTTGGTCTTTGTTGGTTTAAAGTCTGTTTTATCAGAGACTAGGATTGCAAACCCTGTGTTTTTTTGCTTTCAATTTTCCTGATAAATCTTCCTCCATCCCTTTATTTTGAGCCTATGTGTGTCTTTGCACATGAGGTATGTCTCCTGAATACAACACACCGATGAGTCTTGGCTCTTTACCGAATTTGCCAGTCTGTCTCATTTAATTGGGGCATTTAGCCCATTTACATTTAAGGTTAATTTTGTTTTGTGTAAATTTGATTCTGTCATTATGATGCTAACTGGTTATTTTGCCGGTTAGTTGATGCAGTTTCTTCACATTGTCAATGGTCTTTACAATTTGGTATGTTTTTGCCATAGCTGGAACAGGTTTTTCCTTTCCGTATTTAGTGCTTCCTTCGGGAACTCTTGTAAGGCAGGCCTGGTGGTGACAAAAATCTCTCAGCATTTGCTCTTCTGTAAAAGATTTTATTTCTCCTTTGCTTATAGAGCTTAGTGTTCCTGGATATGAAATTCTGGGTTGAAAGTTATTTTCTTTAAGAATGTTGAATATTGGCTCCCATCTCTTCTGGCTTATAGAGTTTCTGTCGAGAGATCTGCTGTTAGTCTGATGGGCTCCCCTTTGTGCACAACCCGACCTTTCTCTTTGGCTGCCCTTAACATTTTTTCCTTCATTTCAACCTTGCTGAATGTGACAATTATGTGTCTTGGTGTTGCTCATCTTGAGGAGTGTCTTAGTGGTGTTCTTTGTATTTCCTGAATTTGAATGTTGGCCTATCTTGCTAGGTTGGGGAAGTTCTCCTGGATAATACCCTGAAGAGTGTTTTCCAACTTGGTTCCATTCTCCCTGTCACTTTCAGATATACCAATTAAACATAGGTTTGGACTTTTCACATAGTCCCATATTTCTTGGAGGCTTTGTTTGTTCCTTTTTGTTTATTTTTTCTAATCTTATCTTCATGCTTTATTAAGTTGATCTTCACTCTCTGATATCCTTTCTTCCATTTGATCAATTTGGCTATTGATACTTGTGTATGCTTCACAAAGTTCTCATGCTGGTTTTTTAGCTCCATTGGGTCACTTATATTCTTCTCGAAGCTGGTTATTCTAGTTATCAATTCCTCTAATCTTTTTTCAAGGTTCTTAGCTTCTTTGCATTGGGTTAGAACATGCTCCTTCAGCTCATAGGAGTTTTTTATTAATTACCTTTTAAAGCCTACTTCTGTCAGTTTGTCAAACTCATTCTCCATCTGGTTTTGTTCCCTTGCTGGCAAAGAGTTGTGATCCTTTGCAGGAGAAGAGGCGTTCTGGTTTTTGGAATTTTCAGCCTTTTTGCATTGGTTTTTCATCATCTTCTGGGATTTATCTATCTTTGTTCTTTGATGTTGGTGATCTTCAGATGGGGTTTTCGTGTGGACATCTTTTTGTTGATGTTGATGCTCTTCCTTTCTGTGTGTTAGTTTTTCTTCTAACAGCCAGGCTTCTCTGCTGCAGGTCTGCTGAAGGTCCACTCTAGACCCTGTTTGCCTGGTTATCACCAGCGAAGGCTACAAAACAGCAAAGATGTCTGCCTGTTACTTCCTTTGGAAGCTTCATCACAGAAGGGAACTCCCCAGTTGCCAGCTGGAGCTCTCCTGTATGAGGTGTCTATCAACCCCTGCTGTGAGGTATCTCCCAGTCAGGAGGCACAATGATCAGGGACCCACTTGAGGAGGCAGAGTCTGTCCCTTAGCAGAGCCTGGGCACTGTGCTGGGAGATCCACTGCTCTCTTCAGAGCTGGCAGGCAGGAACATTGAAGTCTGCTGAAGCTGAGCCCACAGCCACCCTTTTCCCCATGTGCTCTGTCCTAGGGAGTGAGAGGCAGTATTGGGCCAGGTGTCTTGGACTCCCCTGTGGCTATACAGAAAACAGAACATTATCTTATCTGTCCAAAATGTATTTTTTTCAGGCTATGAGTTTTCAAAGCCTTTACATTTCAAAATACACCCACTATATCTAATTACCAAAATGTTATGTTCAACTTCCCCTACCCTGTAACCATTCTATAGATTTATGATTTTGTAGACTTTGACCATCTTAACTATCATCTTTCTTCTCTCTGCATCAGGTGCTTCATGTGTGGATCACATTTTTTGGCTCTTTCTGTTGCTTTTCTCTGCGCCATCTCTAACTCCACTACATTTTTCTTGCAGTTTTTTCTGCTAGAATTGCAAAACAGGTTACTGATGCACGGGATAATGAGTTTTGTTTTGTTTCCAGTGCCCAATCATGATGCTCAGACTACTGTTACTTTTTGGACTCAATAGCAACTTTTTTTTTTTTTTTTTTTTTTTAGAACACAGAAGGGTACAGGTGACACTCAGCAACCTCATGTCCACTTCAAACCTCAGTGCTGCAGTATATATGTTTAGAAGGGTATCTATCTAGTTGGAGAGCAGCTGAGGCCTTCTATATGGCAATCAAATGTGTCCATTCTCCTCACCATCCCACTTCTCTAGCCCCAGCTCACACCACTCAGCCCCTCGCCCAGTGTCCTCCAGCCACATGTTGCCCTTGTTTCAGTTCCTTATAGCTGCCAAGCTCCTTCCCACCATAGGATCTTTATACATGCTCGCCCTTTGCTGAGGCTGCCAATCATCTTGTGAGCTCTTACTCATCCTTTAAATTCCGGATTAAATGCTGTCTTCACACCTTGTCTTATTCTTCACAGCACCTATCATGTAACATTTGCAAGCAAATAATGATTGATATGTTTATTTGCTTAAGACCTACCATCCTGATGCATTATAAACAACTCGATGAGGATGGAGATTCTCTTGTTCACCTATGTAGTCCCAGTGCCCAGCATAGTATTTGATATCCAGTTACAGGTCAGTAATGTTTCCTAAATGAGGGAATAAATTAAAGGAAGGAAATAATAAGCCTCTGGACACGGTTGTACTCTTACCCTGGTTCCATTTCTTGCCCTAAGTAGTGAGTTTATAACCAGCCTCTTTCTCAGATGTTGCAGACTTGACATCAGCTCTCTCTTGGACTTCCAGACTTCAGGGCTCTATAGCAAAAGCCAGTGAGTAGAATGAAGGTGGAAGCCAGAACAGATTAGGAAATGAAGCCAGCTTCAGAGGCTCACCTTACAAGAGCAGTTGCCTTGTCCATTGCAGTATAAAAGGCATGCCAAGATCAGGCATAGTTTGGACAGACAGCAGCGATCACAAAGAATCCAACTTGGCAGGCAGGGCATAGAAGTGGCAGTCCTTGCCATGAAAAGATGCTGGAAATTCAGATAAATGGCAGCATCATGGCTCTGAGCTTTCTCTATATTTACAGACATAGTTAAGTCAGAGAGTTGGAGTTCTAAGAGTGGGATTCAGTCTTCAGGGTTGGCAGAAGTGAGGTAGGACCTCAGGCCAAAGCCAAGCAGGTGGGCTCAGGAAAGGGGAATGGAGCCCTGGGCAAAGCAACTCAGGCAAAAGCCCAGATTCTCACTCTGATGAATCCAACACAGAGGGTGAGAGCAAGCTGCTGACAGTGACAAGAATGCTAGAGCAATTCAAATGTTAAATGAGTGCAGGGACTCATCCTTGGCACCTGAAACCCAAAGAGTGAATAAAAGTCATTCTTAAAAATGTACCATCTTTGGGTTTGATTCTTGAAAATTCTACCTACTAGTTATGTATTCTGGGTATTAAAAAATGGGCTTTGTTAGAAGGACCCATACACTTCCATTTAAAAACAATTATTTTTAATTAAAATAATTTTTATTACTATAAGAGCAGGTTTTATAAAATTACAGATTCAGGGGTACATATGCAGGTTTGTTATTTGAGTATATTGCATAACGCTGGGGTTCGGACTTCTATGGAACCCATCACCCAGATAGTGAACATAGTACCTAATATGTTGTTTTTCAACCCTTGTATCCATATCCTTTCCTCTCCTTTCTTAGAGTCCTCAGTGTCTATTGTTTTCACCTTTATGTCCATATATTCACTTTGTTTAGCTCCCACTTGTAAGTGAGAAAATGCGGTGCTTAATTTTCTGTTTCTGTGCTGATTCACTTCGGAAAATGGCCTCTGGCTTCACCCATGTTGCTGCAAAGGACATGATTTCATTCTTTTTAACAGCTGCATCGTATTCCATGTGGTATGTGTACCACATTTTCTTTATCCTACTGTTGTTGAACACTTAGGTTGATTCAATAACTTTTGTATTATGAAGAGTTCTGCAATAAACATGACTGCAGGTATCTTTTTTGTAAAATGATCTGTAGATTGCTTATAAAAGCAATTTTACATGCATTACAGAAAGTCAAAACATTGAAGTTAAATTTAACTAAATGAAGCAACATATTTTAATCACCACTGATATAATCTTTATTATATTTCCTTCCAGATATACAATTTTTGTACAATAATGAGATTTTGTATTATGTGCTTTTTGTTAGCTTTTTGTCTGTTAAGAGTTTCCATCTTTGCAATATAATAAATGTTAAAATTAGCTAATATTCATTCTATATTCAGATTGCCCCAATTGTCTTCTTTCACTGTCTTTACAGCATTCCACCCAAATCAGGATCTAATCCAGGCCCAGACCTTGCATCTAGTGGTTATGCCCCTGAAGTCTCTTTTGATTCGCACATTCCCTTTTTCCTCTGATACTGACCTGCTGCCCTGCAGAATATCTCACTTTCTGGATTTGTTTAGTTCCTTTTCAGTGAAGTCATTTAGTTTATTTATCTTCTTTATTGCCTATGTGTAGGTTAGATTAAATCTAAATAATTGGTGGTGGCTTCTATTGAATATTTTGAGCCAGAATACATCCTAGCTAGGTATGCCATATAAACTCTATTGCCTCAATCAGGAGAAACATCTAGTTGATCCATCATTAGGGATGCTATGCTTGATTATGGGTCTAGGGTCTTGCTTCTTTTTAATAGGATCTCAGGCTGACACAATAGGAACATGACTCTCACATCAATGAGTTCCACTCATTGTTACCCCCTCCTCCACCACCATCTCCTACCAGTCCTCATTCCCCTGAACAGACCTTCCAAGCAAGAAAGACAAAAGGGAATAAAGTATAGTAAAAGGCCCAGCAATAAAACTGGAAAGTTTAAGTCTTTTGGCTCTTAGTCTGAAACTTCATTCTAAATTTACTATACTTGATATAAGCAGGCAGGGTCCATGTCCACATTAGATTTCAGTCTTCCCAGCTGTTGTCGGGGTCAAAATAGCATGGCTTTGGTATCTTATGCAGACACCACAAGGCAGCCTGCATAAGATACGAATGTTCTCCCAAACAACTTTTGAAAAAAACATAAGCTGATACAGAAAGCAGATTCAACCATCTTGTAAACTGATCACACCAAAATATGAACTTTGCTTTTTTTGACTCATTATGCAAAATTGAGAAAGAGGAGTCACAACTATACTGTGTGGAATTTAGCCTGGGAGATGAAGACCACCTAGATCCTGCTTTCGTTCTTTGCTTTGTTTGTTCCTTAACCAATGACAAGATACAACCTTGGTCAAATATTTTCACCATCTTAGTTTCAGTTTTCGTATCTGTAACATGGGGTATATGACACAGTGTACAGTTGTCATGAGGATTTAACTACATCTGTGAAGCACCTACATTATAGTAACTCCCAGTTCCCTTCTCCTCTCATTGGCAGGGACTGAGATTACTGATATGCTTCCCGCCATGCCCAGCACTGGTTCCAAGTGGGACTGGGTCTGCAGGTGGCATTTACTAGTATATATAGCAGAGAAAGCTGGAGAAAATTGGAGTAGAGGGATGGAGGCAGAGGCTGACCACTGTTATTATATAAGCTAAAATTTTATTAGAAGTGTATGATAAAAAATGTGCTATGACATATAACCTTTTAAGATAACCATGGACCTCGAATTTTGTTGTTTTTTAATGTATTTGGGACATTAAAGGCAAATTCAGTCATTTAGGGCCCAGGACCAGGAATAAAGTCATCTGTATTGGATCTTGACATCTTATTATACCTCTCAGGCACAATACTTGCTCATACACACTATTTTAACAAAATCAGTGAGAGATGTCCATTTTATGATATTTTAGGCACTTCATTTAGCTTTTCAAGTGGTAAGTCTGAAACCTATATGTCCCTAATAATGCTTACAGTCCTAATGAATGTGGGCCACCATTGCTAGTTTTAAAGGTATGTGTTTGTTGGTGGAGAATATCCACACCTCCAATTAACATTTGGAATGTAAATAACATTACAAACATTGTGAATAATCTTTATTTTTCTGATACATTTGATATTACTGAAGGCTAGTAGTTGTATTGATTATAAATGGACTCTGGGGCACACAGACCTAAGTTTGAATTCCAGGTTCCCCACTTACTAGCAGTGTGACTTAAACAAAGTTTAGACCCAAAAGTTCACCTTGCCTCTGGGAATCTTGGCTTCTCATTTTTAGAAAAGAACTGATTATTGTAACTACTGCAAGGCTTGTTGTGAATATTAAATGAGAGATAGCATAAATGAAACATGGCATCTGGTGCATAGTAAGTATTCAAAAGTTGGTTGCTATTTTAATTATCATTATTATTTTTCCCAAGGGAACACAATTTACAAATGTTCCTTTTCCCTGGAATCTTTATCCCAACTCTGATTCTCAATGATTTACTACTGTTAGTCCAATTGGTGAGAAATCAGTGGGGAGACCAAGCATTGTAATTTCTGCCCATGAGGTCTATAGAGGGAATTCTTTTCAATAGCTCTAATTAATGAGTTGGCAAGTCTGATAAAGCACCAGAGAATGGGGAGAGAAAGGGGTGTTCATAGAAAGTGTTAGTGTTTTTGTTTAACGTATGTGACACTTGAAGCATTAGGATGCCGTCATTATGGCACGTGCCACCTCCCCACTCCCCAAAATTACCATAACTTGTACCTTCCAAATTGAATAGAGTCATTCATAGTTATCACATGGGAGCTTCTGTTAAACCTAAAGGCCACACGTAATGTGAGTACAGTGGGACTGCTGGATTCAAAATATCTCTCTTTTCCCTAGTATTCACTGACTATTCTGCATGTAATAAAGGGTATTTAATGCATATTAAGTTTTTCATAACTAATGTGTCTTCTGAAGTTTAAGCAGGTACAGAAAGTGAAAGTAAACATAATGCCTCATTTCTTGGTAATGAATTTTTCAAGTCTGTATATATCACCTACATTGTACAAGTCACAGATGCAAACGGAAGAATTAACAGCTTTATTTTAACATCCCCAAATCTCTTAACTCCAGTACCTTTATGAATTATTATGTTTTTTGGTAACTTCTTAAGAATAAATGCTCATTATTGGTGGCTTTGTGTATAAAGAATTAATTCAACCAGTCCAACTGCCCTTATGTTATTCTGTGTGTTACTCTAAAGACTAAGATTTTTTTAGGTTAGGGAGAGATATGTATAGAGCCTCAGAGTCATCAATCCCTACAAATGTTTTTTTGCCTTTTCTGCTTTTTCCTAGAAAAACCAGCAGACACCCCCTCTGAGGAAGAGGACTTTGGTAAGTTATAGTCTGAGTATTAAGTGCTAAGAATCTTTCATGACAGTCTATCTATTGAGACATATGTGATTCTTTTAAAATCTAGGAATACCTAAATATTTGGTTGATAAAGAATAATTGCTGACTGAAGCTCTTTTGGATCCTTCTTTCAACTGTCTGGTTTCTCTTTCCTGAAAGTGTTCCCTCTTTTTGGAGTTGTAAATGAATTTCCCAGGAAAAACATCATGCAGCTACTGATATTTTGTTACCCCAGCTCACCCCACACATCTTGTCTTCTTTCCCTCCTTTCAGCTCAGTTTGTGACTTTGACATATGTGAGTCTTGTTCAAATCTCTTTCCAATAAAGACCTTCACTCTCCAGCTTTCATGACACCCTGAGTGTATTATTCAGTCTTCTTTTTCTGATAGCCAGCTCTCTCCTTAGTCCCATAGAGTTGAGCCTTGCTACTCAAAGTGTGGTCCGTAGACCAGCAGCGTGAGTAGGACCTGGGAGTTAGAAATGCAGCATCTCAAGTCCCACTCCAGACTTACTGAATCAGAATCTGTACCTTCAGAAGATTCTCAGGTGATTCATGTGCAAATAAACATTTCAGCAGCACTGGCTTCAAGAATTTCTCTTCCTTTGTGCAATCTCATTGCCCCTGAGATATACAAATAAGTACTTTTATATTGTGACTTCCAACATTACTTTGATTCCCAACCCTCAATTAAAAATATTATTATATATGTGATGAGAATGTTAAGTCTATGAGCGATTTTAAAGTATGCAATACATTATTATAAACTGTGATCACCATAGAGAGGTGATGGATATGTCAATCAGCTTAACTTAATCTTTCTACAATGTATACATAGAGCAAGACATCACACTGTACCCCATAAAGATACACAATTATTGTTTGTCGATTCAATAAATAAACGTAAGAAAATATGATCCTACATGTACTTCCCTGCCTCTGTTCTCAAAACCCATTTATTGACTCTCATATATTTTAATTTTACCTACTTAGATGCTGCTGTTTGTTCTCAGATAGCATTTTACCGTTTCAAAATTCCTTCATATAGATGTTGTTATTTAATCATATATGATCATGTAAGGTAGAAAGGTAGGTAATGTAATCTTTTGTAGAGGTTGTTTTGTAAATGTCCATTTGTAATTTTCTAATCTTAGGGATTGATATAAAAAGGTAAAAAATGCGTCAGCAGATTTATTTTCTTACTCTAAAACAGAGTAGAAGTCAAGTCTTTTTGTGCCTTCGGAAATCTGAATTATTCTGCTTCAAAATGTATCATGGATCAAAATAATGTTTTTTTGCTCAGTATGATCTGAGTTATGTTTTTATTCATATACCTCGTCTTCTCACTTAGAATAAAGTAATTAGGCCTAAAATAAAACCCTTATCTTTCTGACAAGGTTTTTGAGATAAATGAGCCAATGAGGAAAAAACACTCCACTTCTGATATAAAGTAGCCTAAGGAGAGAAGTACCACTGAATGCTGCTTCTGCTTGGATGGACAGAAGTAAAAGAAAGAGAAAAAGTTCAACATAGGATATTGTACTATGCCACTTCCATTCTCCCAGAGAAGGCAGTAATGGGATAACTCTGCTGAGTCATGCCCCAGGAGGAACTGTTAGTTTTGCAGCCACTAAACGTGCACCTTAGCAGAGGGAAACACTCTCAGATCCTGAGATCTGAGGTGAACTCTGTAATCAGGGGTGAGTGGGTAAACAGGCCTGGCATTTCGATTGGGTGGATGATGCCATTTTTGTCTTTTCTTTTTGGTTCATTCACTTCACATTTATACTTCTTTTTAAGAGCCTGGTGTTAAAGAAAGCTTTAACTACTAACCACTGTGCTAACAATGTGGGTAAGCTGGGGAGAATTGGAGTTTTATTGAGGTTAACCCATAGGAAACATTCTTCAACAGCCTTCTATTCCAAAGAAGCTGAGGCCCAGAAAAGCCAGTGGCTTGTTCCCATGTGCTCCACCTCCTCTTCTGTTACACGGAAGGGTTGTCCTCATCCTTTCCAAGGCTCATAGTACCTCTGTCAGCGCTGCCTCTTCAAAGACTGTGCTCTTGCAATTATCCCCTCTCTCTCTTGCTTAAATGAAAGGTGCCTTAATACAGCTGTGTGAAACTTATTTTTAAAAAATGTTCAATTAACCCTTTCATCATGCTAAAACTCAAAAGAACTGTTTGTTGGCACTAACTCCGCTTTTCTCCCATTCTCTCATAAACCCACTCCAACTGGAATTGTATCTGCATTAATTCATGAAACAGTTTCTTATCATATCCATAGACTGTATCTTTCTCTTCCATTACAGAATTCTCTTCTTTGCCCTACCGTCTCTCAGCAGCATTTAGCATGGTCAGCCACTCTTCTTTTTTAAACATTTTCTTCTGCTTCCATGATATCACAATTTCCAGGATTTCCTCCTGTCTCTGATCTCTCCTCCTTTGCACAATTGCTCACACTTAAAAAGTCTGGGTGTTGGAGAGTGCCCAGGATGCATTTTCTCTGACTTTCCTAATTAATTTTATCTGATACCATAGTTTTAAATACCATGAATGTGCTGTTAAGTCCTAGATTTACATCTCTAGCCCGGATTGTTCTTTCTTGCCCTGGACTTATTTATTCAACTTTATATCTCACCAAATCTGCTCTTGTTTCTATCTTCCTTTCTCTAATAAGGGTGTCACCTCTCACCATCTCCAGTAAATTGCTTCATTCAAACCACTGTTCTTTCCCAGTCAGATACCTACCATAACCTCCTAACTCATTTTTATCTTCAGCTCTTGACCTATTCTGGTCTATTCTCCATAATATAATCAGATGAATATGTTTATAATTACGGTTCCTATTTTCAAAATCAAGTAGTGAAGTGAGCAAATAAATAACCAGCTGCTATTTAAAATGCTCAAAGAACAATACTAATGACTTAATATTATTTTTTTCATTTATTATATTTTATCTAATATATAGTACATAAATATCAAACCACAAGAACAAATGTATTAGCCTAATATGCAGTGTGCCATTTTAGATATTGGCTATTTTGACCCCACCAGTTGCATTCTGACATGTCAAAATTTTTATTTATGGTTATAAAAATATAACCAAACATAAAAATGTGTTACTTTAGAGTATGCAAGATAAAGAACAGACAGTTTTTGATTCTTTGTAATCATATAAAACATGATTACATTGTTATATGTATATATATATATGGGCTATGTGTATGTATACAGAGAGTCTTTTTAAATGAGGTATTAATACTTGTTTCAAAATAATTCTTCAGATAACACTTCCTTAGCCAAGTCAAAGAAAGCTGAGGTGACTTTCCAGCTTTTTTAGGCAAAGATTTGCATGACATGCGAGACAATGAAGACAGTGTTTAGATATTTTTCTGTCTTATTCTTTAAATTTCAAATTTTATTTTAGATTCAGAGAGTACATGTGCAGGTTTGTGGCAAGAGTATATCACATGATGTGAAGGTTTGGGGTAGGCCGAGGTAGAACCTGTCACGCAGATAGGGAGCAGAGTACCCAATAGGTTGTCCCCATCTTCACTCCCCTCTTACAGTTTCCAGTGCCTATTGTTCACATCTTTATGTCTGTATGTACCCAGTGTTTAGCTCCCACTTATAAGTGAAAATATGCAGTGTTTGGTTTTCTGTTTCTACATCAATTAATTTAGGATGATGGCCTCCACCTACAACCACATTGCTTCAAGGAAACTTTCTTTCTTTCTTTCCTTCCTTCCCTCCTTCCTTCCCTCCCTCCCTCCTTCCTTCCTTCCTTCCTTCCTTCCTCCCTTCCTTCCTTCCTTCCTTCCTTCCTTCCTTCCTTCCTTCTCTCTCTCTCTCTCTCTCTCTCTCTCTCTCTCTCTCCTTCTCCTTCTTTCGAGTTTCACTCTTGTTGCCCGGCCTGGAGTGCAATGGTGTATTCTCAGCTCACTGCAACCTCCACCTCCTGGGTTCAAGCAGTTCTCCTGCCTCAGCCTCCCAAGTAGCTGGGACTACAGGCGCGCACCACCATGCCCAGCTAATTTTTGTATTTTTAGTAGAGACAGGGTTTCACCATGCTGACCAGGATGGTCTCGATCTGTTGACCTCATGATCCACCTGCCTTGGCCTAATTTTGTAATTTTATTAGAGATGGGGTTTCTCCATGTTGGTCAGGCTGGTCCTGAACTCCCAACCTCAGGTTATCCTCCCACTTTAGCCTCCCAAAGTGCTGGGATTACAGGTGTGAGCCACCACGCCCAGCCGATTTCTTTCTTTTTATGGCTGCATAGTATTCCCTGTGTATATGTGCCACAGTTTCTTTATCCAGTCCACTATTGATGGGAACCTAAGTTGATTCCGTATCTTTGCTATTCTAAGTCCTGCTACAATAAATGTACAAGTGCAGGTGTCTTTTTGGTAGAACAATTTCTTTTCCTTTGGATATATACCAAGGAATGGGATTGCTAGGTTGAATGATAGTTCTATTTTTACTTTGAGAAATCTCCAAACTGCTTTCTAGAGTAACTGAACTCATTTACATTCCTACCAACAGCATAAAGAGTTCCCTCTTCTCTGTGTACTCACCAACATCTGTTATTTTTTGGCTTTTTAATAATGACTACTCTCACTGGTGTGAGATTGTATTGCATTGTGGTTTTGATTTGCATTTCTCTGATGATGCATAATGTGGAACAGTTTTTCATTTGTTTCTTGGCCACTTGTATATATTCTTTTGAGAAATATCTGTTCATGTTCTTTGCCCACCTTTTAATGGAGTTATTTGTTTTTCAATTGTTTTGTTAAGTTCCTTATAGATTCTGGATATTAGATCTTTTTTGGGTGCATAGTGTGCTGCTATTATTTTCTCCCATTCTGTAGGTTGTCTGTTGACCCTTGATAGTTTCTCTTGCTGTGCAGAAGCCCTTTAGTTTAATTAGGCCCCACTTGTCCATTTTTTTTTTTTTTTTTGAGACAGGGTCTCATTCTGTTACTCAGGCTGAAGAGCGGTGGTGTGATCATGGCTCAGTGTAGCTTAGACCTTCCCAGGCTCAGGTGATCCTTCCATCTCAGTATTCTGAGTAGCTGGGGCTCTGCAACATGATGCATGGCTAATTATGTTGCTCAGGCTGGTCTCAAACTTCCAGACTCAAGCGATCTACCCATCTTGGCCTCCCAAAGTGCTGGGATTACAAGTGTGAGCCATAGTGACTGGCTTAATTTTGTTTTTTTGTTACAATTGCTTTTGCAGACTTAGTTCTAAATT